TCATCATCAAGTGATAGTGATAGCGGACCCATTAATCTGCGCCAGAAAACTCCACCACCAACTGCAGACTATTCAAAAAGCTCTTCCCAACAAAACTGTTTGCCACAATACCAAAAGACGCCAATTCACATGAAAAAGAAGTCTAAAACACAAACTTCATCAAGTGAGAGTTCTGGCAGTTATACTTCGGAATCAGAAGACAGCGGCGAAGAAGTTGAATTGGCAATAAATCAGTTTCATAAAAAAGGAAGCTTTCCTTATGAATTCCGAAAAAAATGATTTGGAGGTTTATAACAAAGAGAATAACAATCTTCGAGAAGAAAAAAGTAATACTGAAGAAATAAAAACTTGCCAGGGCAAAACTTTGGACACATCGTTTATGGAAATGCTTGAGACTCCGGCAAAAATTGAGAAAAAAAAATACACAAAATAGAAAGAAGGCAATAAATAGCAGAGCTATAGTGGTAAAAAAAATGTATTTTCTACCACTAGCACAGGTCCACGAACAGATATAAATAAAGGCACGAAACAAACTCTACCAGGTTGTTTGGTAAAGAAAAACAAAAAATCAGAAGACGTAGCAAAATGGTTTTGCAAAATTTGCGACAAAGCTGAAATAAAAGACATGCGACTATGCTTTATATGTGTACAGTACGTTCATGAAGAATGTGTAGGGCTGACAAAATTCGATAAATAATCCTTTACCTGTCCTGATTGTACCCCACAATAATGTTCCTTAATTTTAAGTTATTTCAGTTAAAAATTCTTTATTTTGACATTTTAGTTTTTACAAAAAGGATTGTTTAATATCTTTGTTTGGTTAAATCTTTTTTATAGTGTCAATAAATATAAGATTTTGTAAGTATATGATGTTTTTTAATATTTATTTCCACATCATTTAGTGTTTTAGGTAAGCGCATATTACCTTAACTCGACTGGGCATATTTACCTTCAGGGGTTGGCAATATGCCCAGATTGAGGGGTTTAAAAAAAAAAAAAATTCGATATGAAAAAAAAAATAATTGCCAAACAATAAAAAAACTAGCGATGTTTAAACACCTTAACATTGGTATAGTGTTAAAAAATATATGAAAAATATATTTTTGTAGCAATAAATTCAAAATTCCCTTAACATGGGCATATTGTATTCAGTTACCTTATTTCACATTTAAATAGAGCAAAACTTTGTTTTATATCAAGTAATATCATAATAGAACTGATTATCGACTACAGAACTTAGATAATTTTTGTTTTTAAATTATTTTTCAACTCTTTAAACTTATACTCAATTATTGCTTGAGAAGTTTTAGAGATTCCGACGGGTCGACTGGAGAATTAGAGCTTATCGCTTGCTATAATAGGGTAAATACGATATAAATAGGAAAGTAGAAGAAAAAGCACCTAAAGAAGAAAAAATGGATAGCGAGGATGATTATACTTCAGAGGACAGTAAAAAGAGAAGTCAAAAGGAAGATGAAGGAGATATTTTTAACAAGAGCAAGAAAATCACCAGAACCCCTCTCAAATAACAGAAAGAGGAGAGCAAAATTGATCAGCTCTTAAAAATGATGCAAAAATTTAATGGAACAAACAAAATACCTAACCGAAGAGGTGAAAGGAATAAAAGAAGAACAACGAGAATACAATAATGAAATCCGTAAATTGAAAGAAGAAATAAATGGATTCAAACAAAGTAACCAACAGTTAAAGAAAGAAAATAAAGAAATTAAACAGGAACTAAAGATAGTAAACATGAAGATAGAACAGCTCGAGAAAGAAAGAAAAGCTAACAATGTTATAGTCCAAGGACTATCGATGGATACAAATGATCCAAATAAACTTAATATGACCATGACTAATTTTTATGGAAAAAGAATTGGGCATACAAGTAAAAATTGAAGAAGCTTACAAACTAGGTGAAAAAACATGTCTTATAGAAACAAAAGACAGAAATGACAAAATAAAAATTATGCGGAATAAAAACAAACTAAGATCAACGAAACCAGAAATATACATTAATAATGATCTAACGCACGAAGAGATGAAGACACAACAATAAATACGGAAAACTGGAAAATTATAAAAACTTAAAGGTAAAAATATCCGAATTGGCTACCAAAAATTAAATATTGATGGGGACATATGGAAATGGAATAAAGAAAAAAACAGAGTTGGAAAAAGATAACCCAGGAACGTCAAAAAATTGATGCAACAAGCAATATCGGATATCCAACAAGAAACGAAATACGAAATGGCAAAGAAAAACGATATGAATTTTCAGGAAAAAATAATGAAACATACGTACATAAAACAACATAAGAAAAAAGTTAAAAAACACGAGCAAGTAAAAATAAATACGTGGAACATCAGAACAATGCTTGAACCAGGAAAAATGCAAGAGATTGTTTCAGAGCTGGAAAGATACGGAATTGATATTGCAGCAATTCAAGAAATTAGATGGGCAGGTCAAGGAGAAATAAATAAAAAAAATTACACATTACACTACTCTGGGCATGAAAAATAAGGTCAATATGGAGTTGCATTTATAACTACAGGAAAAATACAAAATAATATTATGCAATTTAAACCAATAAATGAGCGCATGGCATACCTGAGAATTAACGCCAAACCATTTAATATATCCATCATAAACGTATATGTATCAACTGAAAGCGCTGTAGCAGAGAAAAAAGATAACATTTATGAGAAACTGGAACAAGAAATTGAATATTTACCCAAAGAAGACACAATTCTGGTAATGGGAGATTTTAACGCCCATATAGGCAAGGAAGACTATATTAACCAAGTTGCAGGTAAATACACATTACATGAAAAAATAAATGATAATGGTCAAAGATTATGCAACTTAGCAACTAGCACCAATATGATTGTTAGTAGTACAAAATTTGCACACCCTGTATACCACAAAGTAACATGGATCTCACCAGACCAAAAAACATGGTCCCAAATAGACCATATACTTATCACAAAAAGAAAGCAAACATCAATAACAGACGTGAGAACATCAATACAGAGCTGCACATAAACACACAGACCATTTCATGGTTACCGCAACGTTAAGACAAAAAGTCAAAAAACGCTAAAAAACAAGACACCAAAGGACATCTGGTACATAGAAAAACTGCTACAGATAGAAGAATTAAATATGCAGAAGATATAAGCAAAAAACTGAAGGAATACTATGAACATGCAGATGATGTTGAAACAGAATGGAGAAATATAAAAAAATGTATAAATGAAACAGCTTCTGAACATGTAGGGATAGAAAGAAAAAACAAAAAAGAAGAATGGTATAATCAAGACTGTCATACCATGTTAAAAAAGAAGATAGAAATAAGACAAAAGTGGATCAGTACAAATAGACAAGAATATAAAGAAGAATACAACAAATTAAGGACAGAATGTAAGAAACAAATAAGGAAAATTAAACGAACCTGGTTAAATGATAAGATAAATGAAATAGAAAAAGGAAACACAAACAGAAACACAAAAGCGTTTTATAAGAAAATTAGCGAGCAGAACAAAACCTTTAAAGGAAAGATAAAAGGCATGAAGGATAGAAATGGAAAAGTATCAGAAAATGACAAAGAGTTTAAAGAAATCTGGACTGTATATTTTAAAGAATTATTAACAGTACAAGAGGACCAACACAAATCAAAACGTGGAAGAAGAGACCACGATGATAGAAACCGAGCTAGAAAAACCAATGAAAGATGAAGTTGAGAAAATTATAAACAGTAGTCGCAACGGTAAAGCGCCAGGTATAGACGGTATAAACATGGAACTTATAAAATATGTTTATTGACGTTTCAATTTCCACTTCGGAAATCGTTCTCAAAATACAAACATATAATATATGTTATTATATATTATATGTTTATATTATATATACATTATAAAATATGGTGAACATGAACTCAGAGAAAAAATATACCAATTAATAAAAGACATATGGAACGACCTGGGCAGGTCATGTAGCAAGATCAGTTGATGACCGGTGGACAAAAAGAATTTTGGAATGGAGACCCCGAATACAAGCTTACAGAAATAGAGGTAGACCCCCAACTAGATGGACAGATGACATAAAAAGAGTGACTACAAATTGGATTCAGATGGCGCAAAATCGGACTAAGTGGAAAAGCATGCGAGAGGCCTATGTTCAGCAGTGGACGTTAGAGGCTAGTTGATGATGATGATGATATGGAACGAAGAAAAGATGCCAGAAGAATGGTACAAAGGACAAATTATCATAATCCATAAAAAAGGAGACCAACAAATGTGTAATAATTATAGAGGACTGACATTCTTAAATACAGCGTATAAAATCATGTCAACCTTAATACAACGCAGACTGGCCGAACCGACTAAAAATATCATGGGACAGTATCAATGCGGATTTATTAGGGGAAAGTCAATAACAGATGCCATACATACGGTAAAGCAAATTATGGAGAAATCTTATGGATATAAAATAGACATTGAACTGCTTTTTATAGACTTCCAACAAGCATTTGATTCAATAAACAGAGCGAAATTACTTACAGCTATGAGAGAAATGAGAATACACAACAAATTAATTAACACGACGATTAATAAAAATGACACTGAGCAAAACCGTAGTAACTGTGAAAACACAAGAAGGAGACACAGAAGAATTTGTTATAAATAAAGGTGTACGTCAAGGAGATTCATTATCTGCAACTCTTTTTAATCTTGCCCTGGAATACATAGCCAGAAAAATCAAAGGTACACTTAGAACGAGAGAGAGACAAATAATAGCATATGCCGACGATATTGTGATAATAACAAAGAATACAAAAAAAATGGAAAATATGTTAAAAGAATTGGTAGCAGAAAGGAAAGTAATAGGCTTAGTAATAAATCAAGAAAAAACAAAAATAATGAGATTTGACAAAAAACATGAAAACAAAAAGATTAGAAATATATATATATATATATATATATATATATATATATATATATATATATATATATATATATATATATATATCAGTCTATGATACGTAGTTTGATCTCCAAATTTAGATTTTTGCACGTTAAGAGTGGCTTCATTCGTATAAATGCTAATCTGGTAATCTCTATTCGCCTGTTTATTTCTGCAGTATGATCATTGGTTTCATTGATCAAAGTTCCCAAGTACTGATATTTTTCTACCTGTTCTATCACGTTACTATTGATTGTCAATAGGTGATGTATATTTTGTGGTCTTTTTGTAATTAGCATGTACTTCGTTTTTTTAGCGTTTATAGTAATTCCCATCTCAGCACTATTCATACTTAAGCTTTTGATAAAATGTTGTAGATCTTCTATACTAGTTGCTATGATCACAGTGTCGTCTGCATATCGTAAGTTGTTAATTAATTTTCCGTTAACGGTAACTTCCGCTTTGATATTATTAAGCGTGTTTTGGAAAATTTCTTCAGAATATAAGTTAAACAAAAGTGGCGATAAAACACATCCCTGTCTAACTCCTCTACAGATCTTTATTTTTTCTGAGTGTTGCCCGTCAATTTAAACTATGGCACTTTGGTTTCAATATAATGTTTGCACTATATTTATGATTTTACTGTCAATGCTCTTGTTCATAAGTATTGCTACTAGTTTTTCGTGTTTTACTTTATCGAAAGCTTTTTCGTAATAAACAAAGCACAAGTGTAGATCAACGTTTACATCCCTACATCGCTGAATCAATATGTTGATGGCAAATAGTTCTTCTCGAGTACCCATTCCATTTCGGAACCCGAACTGCGTCTCGCTAATATCCTCCTCTAGGCTTTCGTATATTCTCTTATGTATTACTTTCAGCAGTACTTTTAAAGTATGACTCATGAGGCTCAGTATTCGATAATCAGAACACTCTTTTGCTGCTTGTTTTTTAGGGATGGTTATAAATGCTGACTTCCGCCACTCTTGTGGTATTATTCCCGTATCGTACACCGTGTTGAATAAATCTGCCAATATTTCTAAGTTATCCTCTTCCACTAGTTTTAACAGTTCTACTGGTACCTATTTCATCTAGCCCAGCTGACTTATAGTATTTAGACTGTTTGAGAGCATATTTGATTTCATCTATCGTGATCTTCTGTCTCTCTAAATGATTTATTTCTTGTGTTTTCTGCATTTTAGCTCTTTGATCTTGGAAAAGTTCTCTAAAATACTCCTTCCATCGTCCTTATTTCTCTGATAAATCTATGAGTAGTACTTCTTTTTTGTCTTTTATGTGTCCTTGCTGTCTATTTCGACCCATTCCCGCCACTTCTCTTATGTTTTTGTGCATATTTCTCATATCAGATTTGGTTTCTAGTTCTTGTATCTCTTTACATTGTTTCATCAAGTAGATTTCCTTAGCTGTTTTGATTTTTTCCTTAATTATTCGTTGTATTTCTTTATACTTCTGTAGATATTTTCCTTTATATTTCCTTCTTTCTTCCATATGTAATAGTATTTCTTCTGCCATCCACTGTCTTTTAGCCTCTGACATATGTTGTATCAAACTTTCTTGAGCTGATTTCAGTAATGTGTTTTTTATACTATACCACTTTTTATTTACATCCATAATTTGTTTGTTGTCAGTAAGTGTTTTTTGCACATTAACATACTATATACTACATTGCATATTAACTACTATACCTGTAGATATTGCAAAATAGTATTTGTTATCGCCATGTTTTACATTGCAATAACTTATTGTTATAATAAGTGTATTTTCTTTTTATATTTTATGAAAACTAGCCATATAGTTGTTTGTTTTTCTGAACAAGGTAGACATAATAGCAAAAATAGCCGAGCCAAATCTATTGTTGAAACTAAACTTACTTTTTATTATTGCTTTATATCTTTTGAATAATCTCTTCAAGTAGTGCTCAGTGCACATTTTTTTTTATTCGATGATGTGGTAAAGTGTTGTAACCACCTTCTGGTCTTTGCTCGATCAAGCCTTTAAATATATTATGAAGTAGGTAATAATTTCGTTGTATTTGGCATAATATATTTTTATTTTAAAATTGGTTATATTTCGGCGTACGCCTATGAAGAAATTATTAGAGAATGGGTGTGAACGAACTAATATTGATTTCGACATGGAATATATTTAACCATCATCAGATTCAATTCCACTACAAAGCGTTTAACAATTGACAATTTACTACAACAATAGAAATTATAATGAAATTGCGGCACGTATGAGTTGTCATCGACCATCTTTAATAATTTTCACAAAATTCCGACAGACTGTGTTACAGTACTCCTAAAACGGTAGTCACGTACCATTTGGAAATAAAAAATTAATAAGGATATTAAAGACAATGATGTAACTAACAATCATGGGAATTGATTTAGGTATTTTTTTAATATATTCTGTGATGAGAATAATTATCAGGGGCATAGATACTGTTTTTTGGAAATATTAGGCATTTTATTTTTATCGAATAAATAAATAATTCCGGTATATATGAAGGGTCTAGTGGTAAAATATTTTTTCTTATTCATACTATAAAAATAGGAGAGCGATTTATTTAAAATAAAATCTCGACAAAACACTTTAAGAACATCTATTTAGATAAACTGTTTTTCTCAAATTGTTCTGATGAAGTTTTTGGTTAGAGTTCGTAGTTCTCTGGTATTGATAAGTAAAACAACGAATGCTTGTGAATAATTTCATGCAGGATACAATGCTAGCTTCCCAATTGAACATATTTGCATGAAGTAGTTGCTGCAGTTACATAAAATCGGTGGTTATTTTTTGTTGATGTTCTGCAATATTTGCCGGTAAATGTTCTGAATTAGAGATTAACGCGTTCAGCAGGTTACAAATGTACGCATCATGTGGTGTCAGATAATGTGAGTGAAAAGGGCATTCGAAGTCTGCTCTATGAGAAATCATTCTGTAACCAAAATGTTTGGGAAATAATTACATGGAGTGTTGCTGGATGTCTCAATATTCCATACTTTGTAATTTGAATATGAACGATTAACAAACCTCATAGTTGGTTTTTGCTTTAAACACAGTAAATACCAATAATGAGGTGTCCAAATACCGCGTACAAAATTCCATATACAGTGATTTGGACGTTGACATCCAAGGAATTGAGTTGGTTTGTTATAAACCGTTAAGGTGTGTTAGAGTTTAAAAAATGAGGTTATAGTTTGTTTCAAAAATGAATAGGACCATTGTAACGATAATACTACCAAAGAGAATTGAAATACTATTATAAAAATAATACCTCAATCAACCATGTGAGCTTATCGTCTATGCTTCGCCTAGCTCACAGCCGGTTTCCGAAAGGATGATCATCTCAAAAATTATGTAATCGATGGTTAATCGTTGATCAAACGCATTTTGAGTTTCAGAAACGTCAATCAAACTACATTCAACAATGGTCGATCACCTAATTTAACAAACGATTAATCGTTAGTTAACAGTTGATCATATGTGTTTTGAGTTTCTGAAACGCCGATTAACTAGTTTCGCATGTCAAACGACTGTCAAAACCGACTGTCACCTAATTTGAAGTTATTGCATGATTAAAGGGCTGTTAATATTTATAAAGAGTTGTTTTTAGTCATTAAACAGAGTTTTTAGTTATTAAATTGAGTTTTTTAGTCATTATATAGGTTAAATAGTTATTAAATAAAGAGTTTTTTAGTTTTTAATTATAATTATTAGTTATTTAATTATAATTTAGATTTTTAAAATTAAATATACTTATAGTGTAATTAACAAATAACCAGAATAAATTGTTACAAAATAGATCTGTAAATAAGGTAAGTCATATTATTCAATAAAAATAAAACTTTTTCTGGAAGAAATAATTATAAATATAATCTATAATAAATTACTTATGTAACTTGTAGAAGATGGACATCTCTGATATTTCTGACCTTTCATTGTCGAGCGAGGAGGAAAATGACGTCCCCAGGGTTAATCACAGAACCAGGATGAATCCAATGACACACTACAGTGATAGTGAATTCAAACAACGCTACAGAGTATCCAAGGAAGTTGTGACAGAATTAGTGGGACTAATAGATGGTATTGAACCAACAACCAAACGAAACAAATCTATTAGTGCCATTGAGCAGATTTTACTGACAATCAGCTTTTATGCTACTGGAGGATTCCAAGTGAGTGTGGCTAATAATGTGAGAGTGCACAAATCAACAGCATGTGGTGTTATTCCTTAAATATTAGAATTCACATATATAAAATATTATAATTCATACCCGTGTAACATTTAACATTTTGTTTATAAAAATATAAGTAGTAATTTGAATCGAGGACATTCATAAATAACATACTCTAATTAGAATTGGTAGTCAGCACTATTGCCGATCACCACATGCTTGGCGTAGGTCATGAACAAACTTGACATACTAATAAGTAAACATTTGCTGATATAGTAAGGACTACTATAAAAGCCCCAACAATCATTCTCTCAGAGATCTTAATTAATATACCGACACTATGGCCAGTAAGGCATCATCTATCGTCATCGTCAATTAAGTACTGATATATTTAAGATTAATTAATAGTGAAAGATTGTACAAGCAGTGATTAAAAAATGGGCAACTAAGTTACAACATATTATTTACTACCCCACAACATTATTTATTACAAGCATGTCGAATCATCAAGAGAATATCTCTAGCGATAGCTAGGATAAGGCCAGTTTTTATAAATATGCCAGCAACAGCAGAGGAGCGCCTGAGTGTTAAATCTGGTTTTTATGCGTTGGCTAATTTTCCAAACGTAGTAGGTGCTGTTGATTGTACCCACGTCAAAATTCAATCAGTTGGAGGCCCACAAGCAGAACTGTTCAGGAATAGAAAAGGATACTTCTCTTTGAATACTCAAGCTATATGTGATTCACAGCTGAGGATTCAAGATATCATTTGTAGATGGCCTGGTTCTGTACACGACACAACTATTTTCAATGATAGCCACATACGTGCTGATTTCGAGAGTGGTGTATATGGGAAAGATTTTCTCTTGGGAGATAGTGGATATCCTTGTAGAAGTTACCTTTTGACTCCATTTTTGCAGCCTAGAACAAATGATGAGGAAGCTTACAATAGAGCACAAGTATCAACAAGAAATCCCATAGAGAGATGTTTAGAGGTATTAAAGAGACGTTTTTCCTGCCTATCTATGGGACTAAGGGTAAAATAAGATAAAGCCATGAATATTGTTGTGGCCTGTGCTGTATTGCACAATATAGCTATCGATCACAATGAGAATGATCACTGAGGAGATGTATGAGATTGCTGGAAGAAATAATGAGAATACAACTGTCCGTTCATCTCTAGTAACAACGCATTTTAATAAGTG